AATGGCGATGATGCATGCCGGGCCGCGTGGCCCTCCCCACGGAATGCATGCCCCCCCGCACCTCCGCGGACAAGCCAAGGGCGGCCCTCGTCTCCACGGCATGCCCATGCACGACCGCCAAAGGCACTCCTTCCATGGAGGTCGCCGCTTCCACGACGAGGGTGTACACAGCAGCGGGGGTGAAGGAGAGCGTGGTCCTGTTGTGCACATGGGCCCAGGTCACCATGCCCACCCTCGTCGCCAGCGGGAACACCACGGCATGCACCACCTGGAGAGAGACGGGGACACTGCCGGTACGGACATGGATCATGGCCCCGTTCCTCACGGGGCAGGACGGCACCACCACCGAAGCCCCGCCGGTCTACACCACCGACCGCACGGCCCGCCCCCCGGCCCGCCCCCCGGCCCGCCCGGCATGCGGGGCGGAATGCGGTGCGAGGACATCGGAGGCGATCTCCACCCCCGACAGCATCAGCACCAGTACCAGCAGCACCAGCAGCACCAGCAGCAGCACGGAAGAATGGCGGCAGGCCGTGCTCGCGGTCACCCCTGTCACGAGCGCCCCTCTCCCTTGCAGATGATGCCGATGCAGGCCTACTGAAGAGGAGAACAAGGCACCGTGATGTACGGCTGGTTGAATGGTATGTGTTGCTGCTGGCCAGAGAGCTACGACGAGGCAGCAGCATCTGACCTGGAGTAGAAAGCAGTTCTTCGGCGGGAGAACGAGAGACGGTTGGGTTTGGCCTGACTTTGGCGTGGTTTGAAATTGTTTGTTTGTTTGCAATTGGGCAGAAGCCTCCCCCGGGAAAACTGATACGAGGGACAAAGGACGTGCACCNAGGAGAACAAGGCACCGTGATCTACAGCTGGTTGAACGGTATGTGTTGCTGCTGGCCAGCGAGCTACGACGAGGCAGCGGCATATGACCTGGAGTAGAAGGCAGTTCTTCGGCGGGAGAACGAGAGACGGTTGGGTTTGGCCTGATTTTGGCGTGGTTTGAAATTGTTTGTTTGTTTGCAATTGGGCAGAAGCCTCCCCCGGGAAAACTGATACGAGGGACAAAGGACGTGCACCTTGCGGTATACACCTGTGCGTGGTACGGTACGTTCTAGAAGGTCTCTGCGCTCATGCAGCCGTAGTGTATACGTTGTGTGTGTTTGAAGAGTCTTGCATTGTGTGTGTACGCCACCAGTAGTTAGTGGAGATTTCTGCCCCCTGACGTATGGCTGTGCTCCGTGTTGTTTGCAGTACGATGGCAACTAGTTGTGCTGTCGTCGCAGGTAGCAGACGTAAACAGTCTCTGTTGGCAATCATACGCTGAATTCCTTTTGGTTGGATCGTCTCTTCATCAGAAATGCATCGAGGAGGAGCGGGGTACCCGCCCCGGGGTGAAAAACTGCGGTGTTTGTATGTTGCAGTCCCATCCCTACGGAGAGAGGTTGTAACGGGGTGAGTCGCGTGGCGAAGAGTGACGAAACGGACGTTTTCTTCTGTTTTTTGTGTAAGCGGTGTTGTTAGTGTCTGGCGATGTACTGAGTGACGATAGACACCCTTCAACCGTTGCTAGTCATTTGTCGTTTCCTGTTGACGTTTTTCGCCTCCGTGTTCGGAGGGCGCGTGTGTTTTGTATGTCGTCGAAGCTGCTTCGCAACGGAAGAAGAGTAGTGCAGTCACAGAAGCGTTGGTAACACTTGTGTTAGCGGCAAGGCGTACGTGCGTGTCGTTGTCTTCAGTCCTGCCTGCGGTGTGAAGCTAGCTGCAGCTGACAGCACCGAGTCTATGTCTTTGTGGTACCGTGTGTTGTAAGGAGGATAATTTGTCTGGCACGTATTGGGCGGACTAGTGTCGCAGGCTGCATGTAGGCATGCAGTGCACGTGTTGTGGAGTGCTGCTGATGGCGATGCATCGACAAGAAAATCAACAAAATCTGGCTTCGATATCGGAGTCCACGAAAAAAAAACACACCCGGTGGGTTCTTCCCACCACCCTCTTGAAAAAGAAAATGCCATGATTCCGACACGGAACTGCCTTTTTGCGTTCACGTATCGTGCTGATCGACGCCAGACCAACGGTGTCGCAATCGAGGCAGATCGAGCTGTCTGATGACTGTTCTTTGCTCTACCGTGCACGATTGTGTGTGAAGTGATCGTACTTCAGTTGACTGTNGCGTTCACGTATCGTGCTGATCGACGCCAGACCAACGGTGTCGCAATCGAGGCAGATCGAGCTGTCTGATGACTGTTCTTTGCTCTACCGTGCACGATTGTGTGTGAAGTGATCGTACTTCAGTTGACTGTTGGAAAAATTCAGATATTCGATGTGAAGGCTAGTCTAGTTGCGTTGGTAGCTCATCATACATACACTGTCTACGAGTAGAACGTGGTGTAGGATGTAATATGTATTTCTCTCTCAGTACGATGTCACGTATTACCCGGGCTACATCTGCGCGTCGTGTGTACGGTTGACGTGTTCGGATGTCCGAGAGACCATGAAAATACTTTAAACACTACTGCCGTACGTGGTGGAGTTCGTGCGACACGTTGACAAGCATCTTCAAAAATCGTTTGACCCGCCCGCACGCACACGACCCGAGTAAGTGCTCTAATGCTTTGTGCTTTGTCTTCTGCCTCCCTGTAGCGATCGCCGACGACACTCAATACCAGCGACACAACTCAGGCGGACCTACAGGAAACATGCCTCATCTTCACAACTCGCAGACCGTTGTCGAAATGAATGAATGGCTGACAAGCCAATTCCCGAGATGCTGACACACAAGTTTCGGGTTGTTACATGTAGCGTTGTTACCTCGCCCTCGCGGGTAGGTAGGCGGTTCAACCCCATTAGTTGACCCAGAAAGCTGCGGTACTACAATGTAGGTTATGAAACCACAGGAGGGGGTCCAATCCCTCGCCGGTGTGACCCCGGTTGGGTCGTCTAGCTAGTAGAAGTGGAGGATAGGGGCCAAAGGGGCAGACGAGAGAGTCCAATGATGGGAGAAAAAATATATAGACTACTAGTAAAAAAATTACATCCCACTCGACAGTACGCAGTCTGGCTCTTGCCACATCCTCTCCACAGCAGGTCGTCAAGGGTGCCGCGGGAAAAGTCTGCAATCAATCGAGATTCCTCTCTACGGCACACCTACGCCGCAGATCACGATTGGTTCAGGATGCGGCGATCCCAAAAGGCGCATCAACCAAAGACGTTATTGCGCGCGGGCAAGGACTCATTCCCCACAGTCTTGAAGGAAAATGCAGTACAACCTTTTGCAGCGAATATAACGGGCGAGATATATAGATTATAGTCTATACTATACAGAAGATATGAAACACGCACAAGCTACAACGAACAAAAGGTTATGCCTGTACAACAAACGATGAGTGAAAACGAAGCAGCAAGAAAGAGTAGTTGGAACGACCGGAACGCCAGCTCAACATCCGGCTTCTCCAGGCTGAAGTGGTGGAGACTCTCCTGTATGGGTGCGCCTCGTGGAGCCTAACAGCGGAGCACTACACGAAGCTCAATGGGACCCACCGCCAGTTCCTCACACGGTGCATCGGCTGGAGCAAGCGGAAACGCTCAGACCGCCCCCTGTCCTATGCCCAGGCCCTCATCCAGGCAGGCTGCGAGGAAA